AGTCCATTGACATGGTGATCTTTTGATGCAACCAGTTGAGGGAGGGGGTCCAAAAAATGCTTAATTTCTTTCAAAGTTGGGAAAGGAGGCTGCTCCTCAAGCTTCTGAAGGAACATGGTTCATGGCTGGTAGGCTGCAACAAACTGGAAGCGTGTCCATATTTTGATTTCATGTTGAAGCTGGCAGCTTGGAATAAGTGGCCAGTATTATGTGTCATCTTCTTCATAGAATCATAAAGTTGGAAGAGACCTCATGGGCCATCCAGTCCAACCCCCTGCCAAGAAGCAGGAAAATCATATTCAAAGCACCCCCAACAGATGGCCATCCAGCCTCATAGAATCCTAGAATAGAATCATAGAATCAAAGGGTTGGAAGAGACCTCATGGGCCATCCAGTCCAACCCCATTCTGCCAAGAAGCAGGAATATTGCATTCAAATCACCCCTGACAGATGGCCATCCAGCCTCTGTTTAAAAGCTTCCAAAGAAGGGGCCTCCACCACACTCTGGGGCAGAGAGTTCCACTGCTGAACAGCTCTCACAGTCAGGAAGTTCTTCCTCATGTTCAGATGGAATCTCCTTTTCACGTAGTGTAGTCAGAACTGCTGGCATCTATATTTGCTACCATATGGTTGCTTGTTCAAGTAGGGTTGCATTATTTTCACCACTTCCAGCTCCAAGTCTAATACTTAATTTGGCCCCAACCCCAAGCCTGTTTCCTCTCCCTGCTTTTATGTGGATGAGGGATAGACTTTGCCAAGCTCTTCAAGGAGACGTAAAAGGGTGACTCTCCCTATGCTCTGCTTGAGGCCCTCTTCCTGGCAACCCAGTCCCTCTTGCTCTGGGGCAGCTGTCACCTGACGTAACCCATGTGTCCCTCCTTGCCTCCCCATCCCCTTCCCCATCCTCAGGACAAATGCACGCATCCAGAAGACGTCAAGCTCTGCACGCTCATCTTGAAGACCAATGGTAGCTTCCCGCTTCATAAACGTGGCGAGTGTTCCTCCCAGGGATAGGCTTGCAGGGTGAGCCCACTGTCTTCTCAGTTGGGTCTTCAAGGGCCAAAACCCATGGCCAGGGGCAAAGTAAGGTATCAGGGCACAGGCAGGGAGATGTAGACACCCCAGGAGTCACACTTTGCTCAATAGTTTGCTTTTAGACCATATTAGGGCTTGGAGCAGGCCTCCCCAATTAAATTTGGAGCCTAATTCCATGATCTTGATGTGATAGACACAGATTTTTATCTAATCTGGCACACTCCAGGCCCCAAATTCATATCAAAATTACTTGTTTAAGGATGAAAGTGTATGATAGTTGGAGGCCCCTTCTTGAAGACCAATGGTAGCTTCCCGCTTCATAAACGTGGCGAGTGTTCCTCCCAGGGATAGGCTTGCAGGGTGAGCCCACTGTCTTCTCAGTTGGGTCTTCAAGGGCCAAAACCCATGGCCAGGGGCAAAGTAAGGTATCAGGGCACAGGCAGGGAGATGTAGACACTCCAGAAGTCACACTTTGCTCAATAGTTTGCTTTTAGACCATATTGGGGCTTGGAGCAGGCCTCCCCAATTAAATTTGGAGCCTAATTCCATGATCTTGATGTAATAGACACAGATTTTTATCTAATTTGGTACACTACAGGCCCAAAATTCATATCAAAATTACTTGTTTAAGGTTGAAAGGGTATGATAGTTGGAGGCCCCTTCTTGAAGATCAGTGGTAGCCTAATTCCATGATCTTGATGTGATAGACACAGTTTTTTATTTAATCTGGTACACTCCAGGCCCCAAATTCATCTCAAAATTACTTGTTTAAAGTTGAAAGTGTATGATAGTTGGAGGCCCCTTCTCCGCAAGCGCTCCTGAAAAATTGTCCCAAATTGCTCAAGCAAGTCTCTTTGCATGTATATGCTGAACCCACCTCAACATTTGCTCTCCCCCTCCACAAAAGTCATTTGGGAAACACAGTCAACATATAGTATTGGTCATGCTGGCAAAGGGGATTTGGGAAATGTAGTCCAGAAAAGTAATTTTGCTCAGCTCTGAACTCTTCTGCCCACACTGTTGTACTTCTGACGGTCTCTTTCTCTGCCCAAGTAGGGAGCAAAATGCAATATCTATGGTCCTAAATTGGGCACCAAAGGACAGAGATGAGAGTTAGAGTAACAGTTGCTGGTTGTTCAAAGGTTGGTCTCAACCGCTGCTTAGAAATAGCAACCACACACAAAACCACACACTCTGGAAATGGCTTTTTCATGCACAGAAACCCACAAGTTTCATGTAAAAAAATTCCATGCAAAAAAGTTTCATGCAATTTTTTTTCCTATCGATGTATTTCTGTGCAGAATAATTTCCCAAAACACTTCCAATTGAACTACTATCTAGTGAAATAGTCTCACTATTGGATTATTATTCCCAGCCAGGTATCCCAGTATTGGGGAATCCATTTGTTTGCTCAGGAAACAAATCGCAGCCAAAATTCTCTCCATCCCTAATACATATCTGTGGGAATTTTTGTGTAGGACACAGTGAACCAGATAGGTGAGATGGAGATGGCCACCAGCACCAGCCCACCAGAGAAGAGCAAACATAAGCCGTCGGTGCCAAGTCACAGCGAGTTAGCTGTGCCGGCCCCTTCCCACATGTGTGCCAACTCCACGCTGAAGTCTCCAATGGACAGCCCACTTCAAGTCGCAAAGAACGGGCACACGACAGACAACCCCAAAACAGCCAAGGCCTTTGAGATCCAGACCATGCCCAATGGCAAGACACGGACTTCCCTCAAGACCATAAGTCGGAGGAAATTCTCACAGCAGAAGGAAAAGAAAGCCACGCAGATGCTTGCCATTGTGCTTGGTAAGATGTTGGTTTGGTCACCTGTTATGGTCTACAGAGATCTCCTAGCAGTCCTAGAACCATCTTGAGTCTGGTCAATGGCAACCTAGTGCCAAATCTAGTTTCTATTTTCAATTAGAGAAGATATACTGAATCACTAACTACATGGCAAGTCAACCCTTATCTAAACCTCATTTATTCAGTAACTTTCCTCTAGTTGGATTTAGGACTAAATAGTTACAAAGCCCAACAATATTTTTCTTGGTGTCTAGGTTTTTAGGCCTGTTATTTGGAATACTGAATTGGAAAATGGCATTGGATAGACTGCATCAACACTAGTTTATTAGATATGATTATAATGGTTGGGTTGTTGTATGTTTTCCAGGCTGTGTAGCCATGTTCCAGATGCATTCTATCCACAGGTTGTGAGGTCTGTTGGAAACTAGGACCTCCTAGTTTCCAAGAGACCTCACAACCTCTGAGGATGCTTGCCATAGATGCAGGTGAAACCTCAGGAGAGAATGCTGCTGGAGCATGGCCAGACAGCCTGGAAAACACACAACAACTCAGTGATTCCAGCCATGAAAGCCTTAGACAACATTATCATGGTTTTCTAGGGTTTTCTAGGGTGAGCAGATGGCAACTGGTATATGGCATATGTACTATAGCTCAAAAACTAAAGCTGATAGGCGGAAACCGATATGATTTTTGGAATCAGCAGGTCGAATATACCCAGGAACATGTCTAACATTTGAGTGTGTTGACCAGTGTATTGGATGAGCTCATGGGAAGACTGGGATCTGCATTCCAAAAGATGTCTTGCATCAGGATATTTATTTATTTATTTATTTATTTTGGATATTTATACCCCACCCTTCTCAACCTCCTGGGGGGGGGGGGGGACTCAGGATGCCTTGATCCAACACCATGATAGAATTTATCTCTGCACACTTGCTTAATTTCTTCTGAAAACCATCTAAGCTGGAGACCATGATCAGGACCCATTAATTAAGGATGTGCTGTGTGAAGAAGCCATCTTCTCTTCCTTTGTGATGCTGACTTCTCTCTTTTCATTTCTCCTCTGCCAGGTGTCTTCATCATCTGTTGGCTCCCTTTCTTCATCACCCACATCCTGAACATGCACTGTGACTGCAACATCCCCCAGGCCATGTACAATGCCTTCACGTGGCTCGGATACGTCAACAGCGCCGTCAACCCCATCATCTACACCACCTTCAACATTGAGTTCCGAAAGGCCTTCATGAAGATCCTCCACTGCTAGCTTCCCCTTGAGGACCAAGCGCATGGATAGCATCGTCATACTATGGGGAGGTCTTGTGAAGAGAACTTCTGTGGTGTGGTATCTCTAAGGAAGCACACACAGGGTTCCAAGTGTGCCGTGTGATTTTTCAGCCAGCAGTTGTGGTCCGAGACTTCCTCGTTCTCATGGTGATGTGTGGATTCTGAGGGACCGTCACAAAAAGTGTTCATTTCCAATGCAACCTCTGCACTGTGCTTTTTAACACAAAGAAAGGAAGCAAGGAGACCAACAGCAGCATTTGCTTGTGGCCAGCAAGGCCTTCAGTGCATTAATCACATGACTTGTAGAGGAACGCAACTATGGGAGACTCTTTGACTTATTCCCGTGTTGCTGTTACTGGTACGTTTCTCACCAAAGACACCGTCACCTTGTCTGCTTTGCAATAGGAGATGCTCCCACACACTGGATTGATTTTTTTCTGTAAAAGCCAGCACTCCTAGGAATCATGTCCATTGGAATGGCCTTCAGGCTTTGAACTGAATGCTTGGGTTCTTGGTCAAGTCTTGGTGGAGACAAATTCACCAAAGGTTTCGACCAGCCCAACCACCGTTACCCTATGATTTTCAGAGCGGTGAATGTACGAAAATGGAATCTCAGGGCAGAGTAGGAAAGGAAAAAAAAAAACTACAACGACTGTATCATACTAATGTATATATGGAGGGAGGGGGGAAATGGAAGGAACTGAGCCGAAGCCCAAGCCAAAAAAAAAAAAAAAAGGTGTTCCAAAACTTGTCTTGCATGGTATGCACTACATTTGAAAAAGCCATCTTCACTTGAAGTTCTAGGCAATGGTTGTTTCAGATCCTCCATCATCATCATCATCATCATCATCATTGTATTGTTGAAGGCTTTCATGGCCAAAATCACTGGGTTGTTGTAGGTTTTTCCGGACTATATGGCCATGTTCTAGAGGCATTTTCTCCTGACGTTTCGCCTGCATCTATGGCAAGCATCCTCAGAGGTAGTGAGGTCTGTTGGAAGTAGGAAAATGGGTTTAGATATCTGTGGAATGACCAGGGTGGGGCAAAGGACTCTTGTCTGCTGGAACTAGGTGTGAATGTTTCAACTGACCACCTTGATTTGCATTAAATGGCTTGGCAGTGCCTGGGGGAATCTTTTGTTGAGAGGCAGGCATGTAGCCTGGGGGGGGGGCTTGGGGGGCTTCAGCCCCCCCGAAATTCTCATGGTGGTCCGCGAGAAGGCCTTACTGGTACATTATTTAAACTGTTATGTTTATTCATATCATGATCTGATCACTATGCTCAATATATCCCATATGCATGGGGGTATTGGGGTAACAATACAAAAGGTTTGCTAGGGTAGACCCTCTTTCACTCAGACTCAGCCCCCCCCCCCGAACCAAACTCAGCCCCCCCCCCAAAAAAAAACAAAATCCTGGCTACGGGCCTGCATTGAATGGTTGCATTTTGTGGCATTAAATTGTTTTGCTGTTGTAATTTTGGATTTCAGTGGCTTCTCTGTGTAGCATATTATTTGAGAACACAGAAATGCTGGACCACTCTCACAACCACCATGTCAGACTACACAGATAAGCCACTGAAATCCACAAGCATGTGGACAATTTCAACAGAAAGGAAGAAACCATGAAAATGAACAAAATCTGGCTACCAGTATTAAAAAACTCTAAAATTACAACAGCAAACAATAGAGAGTAAACATCTAATCACCTCTCAACAAAAGATTCCTCCAGTCACTGTCAGGCCATTATATGTTAATCAAGGTGGTCAGTTGAAACATTCACACCTAGCTCCAGGCTATCAAATGCTAATCAATTTGGTCAGTTGAAACATTCACACCTAGCTCCAGCAGACAAGAGTCCTTTGGCCCACCCTGGTCATTCCACAGATATATAAACCCTTTTTCCTAGTTCCAACAGACCTCACTACCTCTGAGGATGCTTGCCATAGATGCAGGCGAAACGTCAGGAGAAAATGCCTCTAGAACATGGCCATGTAGCTCGGAAAAACCTACAACAACCCATCATCATCATCATCATTTGGTTTTTAGCAGGCATCTTGCTCTTCCTTTCCCCACAGACCATTTCTCGAAGAAGAACAAAACTGGCCATGTAGACACCTGCTAAATAGTACTACAAAAGCACCACATCCCATCTGATCTTGGTAGTTAAGCAGGGTCAGTGCTGGTAAATACTTGGAAGGTGGTCTGCCAGGAAAGCCAGGTGCTGGAGGCTATATGAGGGTTGAATGAAAAGTAATGCCTCCGTCTTTGTTACTTGGGTTTGGATAAATTACATGCAGAAATAATCCTTAGAATGTGCTCTTTAGCTACCACAATTCGCTTTTCCACATAATCACCAGACAATTGGATACATTTCTGCCAACAATGAACAAGTTTTCTGAAGCCGTCACTGAAGAAGTCTGTGCGCTTTCATTTCAGGTGTCAGCGCTTCCATTTCAGGCGTCAGTATCCCAGGTACCCATCGTGCACAGATTTCCGATAGCCAAGCAAAGCAATAATGTGACCCACACGTCCTTGTGAAATGCCAATGAAATTTCTCTCTGAGTGATACGATAGTCCTGAATCAATCTGTCAACCTTTTGCTTGTGAAACTTGGTGGTTGCTGTCACAGGACGTCCAACTCTTTGTTTGTCACGCAAGTCAGATGTTCCCACATCAACATCTTTAAACTTACTCGCCCAACAACACACATCAACACAATCACCATAAACAGCTTGCATTCTCTGATGAATCTCCTTTGGTGTGACACCTTCTGCTGTCAAGAATTCAATGACTGCATGTTGCTTAAGTCACATTGACTGACCGTCTGTGCAGGATTCCATACTTCACACTTTAACAACACAACCATTCAATGCTAAGGCTTCCTGCCAAAATGGAACTGTAGAGGAGAGTCTACTGAACAAGCCAGTACCGGCACAATTCGATGCCAACAATTCAACAGATAAAATACATAACAGCAATAGCCACAGTAGTTAAAAACAATCAATTAATACAATAACAACTAAAAATCCAATCTAGTGGCCAACGTTCACCAAGTTCTAAAATCCGTAAGTCCATTCAACATTACCATAGCCCTTTCCAAATTCTGGTCGTCATTACCTTACCAGTCTGCCAGATTACCCAAAGGCCTGGTTCCATATCCATGTTTTCAGCTTCCTTCTGAAGAAGAGGAGGGATGTTGATGACTTAATTTCCCCAGGGAGTGAATTCCACAGGCGAGGGGCCACCACTGAGAAGGCCCTGTCCCTCGTCCCCACCAGCCTCACTTGTGATAGAGGCAGGGCCGAGAGCAGGGCTTCCCCAGAAGATCTTAAATTCCGAGGTGGGACATAGGAGGAAATACGTTCAGACAGGTACGCTGGGCCGGAGCCATAGAGGGTTTTATAGGTCAAAACCAGCACTTTGAATTGTGCTCGGAACTGGATCAGCAGCCAGTGGAGCTGACATAACAGAGGGGTGGGATGCTCTCTATATGACGCTCCGGTGAGTAATCTAGCTGCTGCCCATTGGACTAGCTAAAGTTTCCAAACAGTTTTCAAAGGCAACCCCACATAGAGCGAGTTGCAGTAATCTATTCGGGATGTATCAAGAGCGTGGACCACTGTGACCAGATCAGACTTCCCAAGGTACCTCTGTTGAGGAGTTATGAAGGTGGAGGCATTACTTTTCATTCAACCCTCGTATGAAGAGTAATGGTGAACCACCTCTGAACAGCCCTTGCCTAAGACAACGTTATGAAGTTTATGCACCCAGTCATCCGACAATTTGAAGCCATATACTCGTCTTTTCCTTTTTTTTTCATGAAGGCACATATTTCATTGAGTCCTACCCTTCCTTCATCCCTTAGCCACATTTTTAGAAAGCTTTGATGCTTTCTAAATTGGATTCTCGCCATTCCCTGATCAAGGCAGTGGTGAGAAGGAACATTTTCAAACTCAATCTGTCCAGCGTCACCACTCTTTGTCGTTCGCCACCGGGAAGCCCATTGACTAGGCCCATCTCACCAAATGGCCGATGCTGTAACTGCTCACTGTATCCACTTCACAGAAGCTTTTGTAAGCTGCCTGCAGCTATTCTACAGCCACTCAATAAAATGACACAGAAATGGGTCTCTGGAATTTTAATTTGCAAGTCCGTCTGGTGAATAAGGTAGGATCTATCAGTTGTCCTCCATCACACAACGAAATCTCATTAGGATTGCATACGTTCAGCCAAGCCCCATCTTGAATCAGCCTCAGGTTTCAAAGGGACTCCACTTGTCTGGCCTGGGGACTCCTAAATCCCTCTTTCTTCTGCATGCTTTCTATCTTTGCAGCCAACTTCTCAGTCAGTCAATACATCCATGTCAGAACCTAATCACTTTATGGTACTTGGTGGCCTCCAAATTAGTTGGGACCATTGAGGGGTTTGGACCAAACTTCAAAGGAACAATTCAAATAAGTTGGTTGTTGTAGGTTTTTTTGGGCTATATGGCCATGGTCTAGAGGCATTCTCTCCTGACGTTTTGCCTGCATCTATGGCAAGCATCCTCAGAGGCAGTGAGGACCTTTACTGTGTCTGGTTGTGATCCCCAGAAACACACATGGAGACCACCAATAATGGCATGATGGGCAAGATGACATGGGTCATCTGGAGAATCCTAGAGGGATGGATTTGGCTTCAGGAACTGACCTAGCACAGCCTTGATCCTATTGGAGACTGTGTACTTGTGCCTTTCACTCTCTGTCTGCAAGAAAGGAAGGACCAGACAGTTGTGGAAGGAGAAACACCTGCAGCTCAGACAATGGCAAAGCTTTGCAGATCCTTTCTAAAACACAACTCTGAGTCACTTTCCAAGAGTGGGAGATACACGGTTAAACGTCGGGAACAATCAAGCACACCAGTTTTGCACTGTTGCCATGTTTCATCCCGGTTTCTTCCTCTCGGCTTTGATGCCACAGTCAATAGTTCATCCCCGTTGGGTGACATTTTTCTGTTTTCGTCTCACTTGTTGAGGCCGGGGCGGTGGGGGAGAGCGGTGGCCTCCTGCTTTTATTTTAATCGCGCAAAATGCGTTGACATTTAGGGTGTTTGAATCTTTTAATTAAGGGGATGGCGAATTGATTCGCAGCCCTGGGTTGAATTTGTTTGGGTTAAAAGGGAAAGAAAGCAGGGCAGCCGGCAGGAGCAAGCCATCTTCTCAGCCTCTGGAGCTCACAATAAGTGCTTGGCATTTCCATTTTCTGGCTGGGGAAAGGATTTTGTTGCCTTCCTGTGTTGATGGAAGAAATTAATCTTTGCTTTACATGTAATCCTGCTAATCTCGCTTGACAAAAGCATCTCTAATTGCCATGTGACTTTCCACACCGTGTGCCGATTAGCCATGCGCCATTCATTGGCAATGCATTGCTAAGGGCAGGAAGCATCAACAGGAGCCCAGCTGGTTCAAGGCAGGAAAAAGCATCTTGTGGGCCTTCAAAATCTGACTTAATGGGGGAGTTAGGATTTGACCAACCAGAATAGGTTTGTCCAAGAAGATTAGGAACATGTGACCCTCCAGATGTTCTAAATCTCATTCATTTTAGCTAGAAAGGGGAGGACAAATGGGAGAGGTAGAACAACAACATCTGGAGGACCATTCATTCCATAGCCATGCCATAGAGCAGTGGTTCTCAACCTGGGGTCCTCAGATGTTTTTGGCCTTCAACTCCCAGAAATCCTAACAGGTGGTAAACTGGCTGGGATTTCTGGGAGTTGTAGGCCAAAAACATCTGGGGACCCCAGGTTGAGAACCACTGCCATAGAGTATTGAACTCAAAGAAGGGTTCCACAGACCATTGATAGCCACGGCTGGTGGTACCTGCTGAGTTTCCT